CATCGAGACCAAGCACACTGCATAGATTAGAATAACGTGACCCAGATCTGGGTATGTTACAGCCCTGCTTCTTCTTGTCTTGAGATGGCCTTGAAATGCAAAGTTAGAGTCGGAGGAGGTCCCCCAAAGAGACCAGCTGCTCAACTCACCCCGCCCATGGGGTAGGTTAGAGGTTCTCTGGCTTTCATCAGAGAAAGAAGAATTTTCAAGATGTGTCAGTGAGAGACATAAAAAGGTTTATTAGGCAGAATTCTAAAAGTACACGGAGAGAACAGTGTGGGCCTTTAAGAGAGATAGATACATTATGGTCAGGGCTAGGGAGTTCCATGTGGTCCGGGAATGTCCTCCAGATAAATGATCTACAAAATATATTTCTGCTGTCAGGTTACCTATTGCGTGTGTGTGTGGGGGGGTGCTATTCAGAATGTAAACCATTCAAATGTGTTTTAAGTTGAGATATTCTGCCCATAAATATTGCTGCTAATTTGAGGATGGAGAGCTGTGGGAGGAAGGGCAATTTACAGGTGTAAAGCACAGGCCAATTTAAAGGCTTATTGTTGTCTCTAAGATTCAAAAAAATTTTTGAGTGAGTTTCCAGGAAGGGAAAGAGGCTTGATAACTTGGTGCCCTGAAGTTGCAGTTTTACTTAAAAGTAATTTAAAATTATGATTTTCCATGTCTCCATTTTCCGTCACTGCACAGATTTAGAGGCTCAGAGCTGAAGAAGTCATTACGAGTCCAGTGTTTCCAGTGCAGAAGTGAGAGTAGGAATCTGTGATGCGGTTGTTTTGTGTTTAAAAAAGTAAAAGACCCAAGAGGCTGTAATGGAAGAAACATCTCAGATCAACTACTACAAAAAACTTGTTAAAACTCAGTTATTTCTTTGATGATCTGGGGAGCTTCCTTCTCTACTTTGGATCGTGATTCCTTTATTTTTCCACAGCAATGCAGGAAGGCAGAAGCTATCATTCTGCGGAACAAGTTCAGGTCAGTATCTTCGGTTGTCTTCTTTTCTTCTGTGGTTTTAAGAAATCTGTTCTGTAAATTCAGCGGGCCAACAGTATGATGGGCCTTTCCCCAGGTTTGGGTAAGCCCCAAGCATGATTGCTAGTAAGGATAAGGGTTCTCATTTAACGTTTCTGGTGGAGCAGAGCAAATTCCACACTGTGCAATCATAAGACAAGGGACAGTATCTTTGGCATGAAGATGTCTGGCATGCTGGAATTTCTGAATGACTTTTCCCACTGGAGGGGTTCAGCAAGACCATTGTCATTTTTCCCTCTCTAGCAGGAAAGGAAAATCCCAGCCCTCAGAGTATTGGTCCTGGCTCGTGGTCATGGATTTTCTTTCCTGGAAACAAGGATTTGGTTCCGTGAGATATCCCAGAGTTGGTATTTTGTTTTGCCAAGATATCTGCTTCTGGCAAGCTGTGGGGGAAAGACACTGAGAATCATGATGCCCTTCAAAAGTATACAAAACCTGTACACTATAATAGTTATTCGGCATCAGAGTAATTTTAGTCAAAGAAAGGCTGAACCTAAATGACTTCACTAATAGGAGTAATTCAAGAATTATGAATAGAGATCAAATAACATCAAATAGTTCATTTCTAAGTTGAGAAATCGCCTAATGGTCTGAACAGGAAAATCGTGAAGATAATTGTGGATGTGCATAGTTTGAAAAGGTCTGTAACTGGCAGCACATGGCTGGGCGAGCGGATTTCCTGTGTCTCAGTCTGAGGTCTCACGAGCACTTCAGCACCTGGAGGCTACGAAAAGCTCTCTTTTAAAAGCTCCAAGTCTAGTAATCATTGAGTCAGTAGTGACATCGACCCAAATTCAGGAGCTAGAACTATGATACGGTACACAATTCAGTCTCTGACAGGCCTCTGCAACAACCAGCTTGTTTCCTTAATATAGTAGATCCTCAAATGAATACGTGGTTTCAGTTACCAAGTAGTCACCTACTATGGCAGTGGTGTGAGTGTGCCTTGCAGATCTGTGGAGAGCCTGGGACCCCTGTAAGTGGTCCATCAGGTGAGAACTACTGTATTTCCATAACCACACTAAGATGTTACTTACCTTTATCACTGCGTTGACATCTGCATTGAGAATGTAAAAGAATTGGAAGCGGCTGAGGCTATAGCTTAGTGGTACAATGCCTGCCTGGCAAGCTTGAGGTCCTGAGTTTAAATCCGGGTACCAAAAAATCAAAAGCATTAGTGAGGAAAATTGCTGATACCTTCTCACAGATAGAGGCCATGGCACCAAACTGTAATTATGTGACTGTGATAGAACTTTTCTTTACTCTCACATGTTTGCAGTGCCAAAAACAAACCAATAACCCTTCCCACAGGTTATTTAAGAATGTCTTTGATCAAGCTGTGAAAACTACTTACTTTATTGTGTCTCAATCTTTACACATCTTTTTTAAATTCTGTGTGATGAAATAGGAAGCATGCTGTCATAAAGAAATTGCATTTCTGTAAGTGAGTTATAAACTAAACTATCTGCCTTGTAAAGGAATACCATCTTTATTGGAAAGAATGGTTGAAAGGGAGTTTATTCAAACTTGGGTGTTTGGTAGACATTTTCTCAAAAATGAGAAACCAAACCTGTCATTTCAAAGAGAATACTTAATAGTGTTTATCTCTAGTGGTAAAATTTGAGCCTTCACCAAAATTTGAATTTTAGGAAACTTGTATCACCTACCCTGAGCTTCATGATTTACCAACAGTAGATTATTTACTGATAAGCCGGGACAGTGTACATACCTGCAATCCCAGTGACTCAAGACACTAAAACAGGAGGCTAACAAGTTCGAGGTCAGCCTGGGTAACTTACCAAGACCCCATTTCAGAATAAAATAAAAAGGATGGCGGGGAGGGGGGGTGCCTCAGTGATAGACCACTTGCCTCGCTAGCACAAGGCCCTGGTTTTGATCTGAAACACTGCAAAAAACAAACAACCACCACAACAAAACAAACTCACAAAAGTTTAATAATGGTAACATTAACAACTACAACTTGTTTAGTTTTAGCAGAGCTGGAAATCAAATCCAGCGCCTTGCCATGTGAGGCAAGCATTCTAGCACAGAGCTATAGCACCACTTCCTACACATACAATTGTTTTTATTTTATTTTATTTTATTTTTTGTCTTTTTCATTTTTATCAGTACCGGGGATCGAACTCATGACCGCCTGCTTGCAAGGCAGGTGCTTATGCTGCTGAGCTAAATCCCCAGCCCCCACACATACAATTCTTAATATGGCATAATATGCCAACATTTGGAAGATCTATATAACTTGGTCTATATAACAAGGTTTTACAACTGACTAATAACTCATGTTAAAAATGTGCTTGAGTAAATAATCACATCAAAATAAAAGATAGACCAATAGATTTAATCTAACAGAGATTAAAAACTCATTAATGCGGCTTCAGGTTCAACATTACAACTATCCTTTTTAAAGTTATAAGCTAACTATCCTTTTTTAAAGGGTAGTTGTAATATAGTCTTGGCATAGTATTAAAAAAGTGTACAGTTATCTGCAAAAGGGTCATAAAGTAACTCTCCTTTTTCCAGTGATATGTCTTTGTAAAACCAGATTTTCTTTGTATATGTCAACTAAAATAATGTATCATAATGGATTAAATGCAGGAGTGGAGAGAATCCAGCTGTCCGCTATTAAGTCAGATGTTAGAGATTTGCAAAAACGTAAAACAATGTCATTCTTCTCACTATTTTGTTCTGTTTTGGAACATATTTTTCATAAAAATACATTACTTACAGTACCAAGAATTGGGTCAATTAATATTTTGTTTCACAGAATTAAAAAAAAACATCTAAAATTTCTGGTTCAATTTTTTTTTTTACATTTTTCTTAATCTTTTTTTTTTTTTATCGGTACTGGGGATCGAACTCACAACCACCTGCTTGGAAGGCAGGCGCTTATACCACTGAGCTAAATCCCCAGCCCCATTCTGGCTCAATATTAATGTGGTTAATAGAGATGTAATACAAATAAACAGAAACCCTTGGGATTCTCCATATTTTTAAGACTGTGAAGGGTTTTGAGTGCAATCATTTGAGAAATATTGATCTACTAAAGACTCAAGTAATAAGGCTACTCTAACTGGTGAGCATGGCAGGGTGGGAAAACACATGCTTTCCAGGCCTCAGACTCCAAATTCTGACTTTAGGTTCAAATTCTGACTTTACCACCCATTAGCTATTTGATTTAAAAGCTTAATTGCCCCACCCAGCACTGAGGGAAGCTAGGGAAAGAGGATTTAAATTGACTCTTACTTAGGCAATTTAGTGAAATCCTGTATCAGAAAACATGTTGGGGACACTGGCCAGTGGTAGAGTATCCCTGTGTTTGGTTCTCAGTACCACTCAAATAAAAAAAGTAAAATAAAACAGAACTTAATTGTACCAAACTTCAGTTTCTTTCTCTATAAGATGACATTAACACCCATCTTATAGATTATTTGAGGAGTAGAGATCATTTTGTATAACGGACTTGGCATAGGGCCTGTTGGTAGGTGCCTAAATATTAATTATTGATTAAACATAGTAAGATGTTTAAATATTAATGTTTTTGGTTGCAAAGATTACAAATGGTTTAAGCAGTTAAGAAAATTACTTTCCATCACAACAATCCAGAGACAGAAGAACTCAGTAATATAAAACCCAACCTCTAGCCAGGTGTAATCCCAGTACTTTGGGAAGCTGAGACAGAAAGATTGAAAGTTTGAGACCAGCTTGGGTAATTTAGCAATTTAGTGAGACCCTGTCTCAAAATAAAATTTAAAAAAAATAGGAAAAGGGCTGGAGGCATAGCCTAGTACAAAGGCTCGGTTTCAACACCAAGTGTACACACGTGTGCACCCCACATACAAGAAGCCTCAAATCCCTCCCACTTTTCTGCTCTGACTTCCCAGTATTGGCTTCTCGCTTTGTGCATGTGGCCACGTGGCAATAGAAGATTGAAGGCATCACATTCTGCAGAATCGTGTATTAAAGAATGAGGAAGACCCCTCCCCAACCTCCACAGGACTTTAAGGAAAAAAAGAAACTTTTCCTAGAGTGTGTCCATCAGATTTTCCCTCACAGTTCATTGGTCTAAATTTTCTTACAGTTCCATTCCTGGGCAGGGCTATGGCAGGTCCCTGGGGCCAGTCAGCCCCACTTCTGGGCCTGGAAGAGGGCTCAGCTTCTCTGAGACACAGTTCTGATGGGAGCTCTGTCAGGATGAGAAAAGGGAGAACACAAGGAACAGATGCAGTCACATGTGTCTCCTGTGTTCAGTTAATGGAGGGCTACAACAGTAAGTCCCAAATGCTGCTTGGCAGATTGGCTATGTAATTACCTGAGAGCTTGTTAAAATATGCAGTCCAGGCTGGGGATTTAGCTCAGCACTCACACACCTGCCTGGCAAGCATGAGGTCATGAGTTCGATCCCTAGTACCAAAAATAAATAAATAAAATAAAATATACAGTCCAAATTTCAATTTACATATAAAGCACCTGGAGATATTATTAAAATGTAGATACTGAATAAGTAAGCCTTGTACAGGATGCATGGGCTGCAGGCCCATCAACTATATTTAGAGTGCCAAAGATGTAGATTGCCCATTTCTGGATTATTGACCTGATCTTGCAGGTGAACATGGTTTGAGACCTGGGATCATCTCAACAATACACAAAAATTCATCCATTCATTCATTCCATGAGCAGTCAAACAGTATACCCTGTCAAACTGTGCTTATTGCTGAAATTACAAAGTGTCCACATTCTGCTGGGCTGGGGAGCAAGTTGACCTATTTACAGATATCTTTAACATGATGTGAGAAGCACTCCAGTAGAGATACGTACAAAGTGTTCTGTGATCAAGGAACAAGGAGTGACTCACCGGTAAAGAGGGGGTTGTCAAAGAAGGTGTCACAGAGGAGGACACTTGAGCTGGGCTTTCCTTAGGTACCCAGAGTAAGACATGTGTGTGTGAAAGCATGGATTTAGGAGCTAGCCATGTATATGGAAGGCACAGCAGGAATATCTCTGTGGCTTATATGCAAGCTGAGATAAGAGGGGAAAAGAAAAGGTCAAAAAGCTTAGGCTGGAGCTAGAGTATGAGAAGCCTTAAAAAGCTGTATTAAATCACTCTACAGTTGTTCTCAACCTTAAGTGCACATTACAGCCACTTGCAGAGATTAAAAGTCCCAATACCCAGCCACAATCTAGGTAAATTGAATTCTACTTTCTGAGTGAGGGAGGGTACATATTGGGAGCCATCAATATGTGTTAGAGGGGCCAGGGCATAAGCACCTGCTTGACAAGCACAGGATCCTAAATTTGATTCCCAGTACTATATATATGGGCTGCAGGCCCATCAACTATATTTAGAGTGCCAAAGATGTGGATTACCCATTTCTGGATTATTGACCTGATCTTGCAGGTGAGCATGGTATGAGACCTGGGATCATCTCAACAATACATAAAAATTCATCCATTCATTCATTCCATGAGCAATCAAACAGTATACCCTGTCAAATATATATATATGACAGGGATTTAGCTCAGTGGCGAAGTGCGAGGTCATGAGTTCATTCCCCAGTATCAAAAAACAAAACAAAACCAAAAAAGTCTATGTTAGAGCAAGCGAGGCAATGTCCCAGCTAAGCTAAGATCCAGGCTTTGCATGAGCCAGTGTTGGCCGACCTATTTGCATGGATCATGTTGTTCAGTGTGGACAGGGCCCGCACTTCTTAAGTGCACTTTTCATGTCAATTTGATATTCAAACTCAGAGCTATTAGAAAGGGCTTATGCCCTGGGCCACGCAATAGGCATGGGGTGGAGCTCTCCTTGTGCAGGGGCTATGGCCCAGGAAGCCCGCCCTTTGTTCCTTGGCCTCCATGGTGCAAGCTGACCCCTGTGCAGTCCTTGACCCAGGTAGGGCGCACTTCTTTCAGTGGCCGAGACCACAGGATCCTCAAGGAGGTAAGCCACAGGATGTGTGCCCAGCTTACACAGGTTTCCCCACTCTACTCTCTTTTACTAACAAATAACCTTTTCATGAATTTGAGGGTATTTCCCTTGATGGGACAAAACGATAAACTCCCCGAACTGTGAAGGCTGACGGGAGAATCTTCCTGTAGGCGCTTCATGGTGTGAATTTGAAATGCCTGCTCTGGATTTGGAAGTCTGCGCTCATCTGCTGAAATGTCACGGTTAAGAAAATTCGTCTCTTCCCATTCATAACCACTATAGTCCTGAAATAATCTTTGAGGTGTCCAAATATTGCTACAACACATTTGTACTTATCCTTCAAGTTGGTGGATTTTGGGGAGTGTTTTGAATTTTTAACAGAAATAAATGATTCCATGCATAAAATATAAATAAAACATAAACTAAAAGATACACTCCAAACTTGTTTACCATCCAGCTCCATCCCCCAGTTTTCTCAATAAAATATTCAGCCCCCTTTAATGGAATGGCCTAAACTCTTCCCGTGGGAGACAGTAGATAAGGGAGACTGCTGTACACAAATGCCACCTCCACAGGTTCCTAGGATGCTCCCCCAGCGCTGGCTGCGCAGTACCGAATCCTATCGTCTTTCTGGAAGAACTCTCGGGGTCCCTTTGCCCTTCCTGGGAGAGGCTCAGGCAGGGAGAGGTGTGCCATCTTCCTCCACAGCGTTTTACAGGGTTTTGTTGATGCTTTTCAAATAATTCTACTCAATCTCCTCCCTCCATGATAGCCCAGACTTTCCCCGCAATCAAATAGTGTAATCACCTGAAAAGAAAAGTAAAACAAACACTTATCTGCTGCTCTGGCTCAAAGAATTGGAGTGCAGGCTTTTGCTGTGGCCGTGCAGATGTTCCCAGGAACCCACGCCGTAGCTAATGCGCAAAGGGAACCGGCCCTCATGTGCTCAGGCTTAGCACTGTGTGGGTGGCCTGCGGCAGGCCTTGGCTGGGTTTGAGTCCCCAAGCAGGAGGCCTGGCTGACTCCTAAACACTTACAAGGAAAATATATAATTAGTAAACAACCTCAACAGCCCCCCACCACTGAGACGGCATTCCCACAGCCCCAGGAGACGACTGTGCCCGCGGTCCTGGGCTGTACAGTTGCCTGCCATTCCTGTGGCCATGGGCTGCTCCGGCCAAGCTCAGCTCGCCCAAGCCCCTTCTTGGATACAAACAAGCTGGCCTTTGATGACAGGAAGGGAGTGAAGCCTCCCTCAATGTCCGGGTTTTAATCTTGGATCTGGAGGACATTACCTCCCTCTTTGTAGATCACTGATTGCTTTCAAAATACCAGGAATCATTATTTTACCTTACAGGGTTATTGTGTGCTGCGATTAATTTAGCTAAGGCTCTTAGAAAACAGTAAATGCTGAGCAGACTTATGAGTTCCCATCTTAAAAAGCACTTTAGCATCCCAGGGCTGCTGGTTTGATGAGAAGTGCTACTTACTGTGACCCTCATGCATGGTCCTTCTTTACTGAATCTCTCAGGGCTTTTTAGTCTCTCTGATGAAAATGCACTGCTTCTAAATGAAGCAAATAAACATTAAGCAGAGGTATGAATTTTGTCTTTTAAAAAAAATCAATCTCAATTTCTAATGAGGAAAACAGGAATAATTTCATGCTAATTAGGAGGAAGACAGAGCGTGCCTTTTGGAGAAAGATAGGATAAAGATTGGGGTTTAAAGTTTAACTGGTAAAATGTCTGCCTCAAAGAAGAACTTGATTTGAAGAACTCCTCTCAGCCCAGGGATCCTGCTTAAGCAAATCCTGCCCCTTCCCTTTCTCTTTCTTTCCTCTCCTCCCACTCCCTCTCCCAATGCCAAACAGTGCAGGCAAAGGACAGAGTCTACAAGACACGTCCGTCCGTACATCTTGGGTGGTGCAGAAAGACAGGAATTACAAACACAGGGGACGGTTTGGCAGCAGGACGTGCCTCGCCCCAGCTCTGTGGATTCCACATTCCTCCCCTGGAGGGGAGCAGCCACATTTGCCTGCAAGCTTCTATTGCCAGCAGCCAGGGGTTCTGCAAGTGCCCAAGAGCTAAGAATTTTCTAGAAAACCATCCAATCTCTGCCTCTGTCTCAGGGGATACACCAGGATGTGCCAAGCTCATCTCATTTGACCGTTTTAAAATTGCCCTTTACATGTGTTTTTAATTTTTATTTAATAAAAGAACAAATGCTTTATAACGAAAGACCAGTTGGTGATTAAAATCCATTTTGTTGATGGCTAACAAACACAAGTAGAAGCTGATATCAATTTTATGAGATCTGCGAGGCCCTCAGCTGCTGCCTGCCTCCTCCCTCAATCATGTTTTCTCTGAAGCAGCATGTCTCTCCACTTTCCCCCCAACTTTGTTTTGGCCCAGTAATTCTATCTTGCTTACACAATTGCTCAGCCTTTATCCTCCTGTTTTTGATTACCAACTGGTGTTTATTTTAAATGCAGTTACTGGCCAATTAAATAGAAATTAGCTACATTTAGAGACAGAACTCCTGATTACTGCTTCTTCCTTTGGCAAATACTCATTCTTCTTGAGGCTATTCTGAGAGCAGAAATCCCAAAGGCAAAGGCCAGCACAATGTGCCAAGGCCCCTCAGGGGAGCTACCTGCTAGATTCAGCATTAAAGGAAGTAGAAATGGGATGCTTAGTCCGCCCAATAGGAGGTAGAGTAAGCTGCCCTGTAACTGGAGCCATTTCCTGTTGTGATTTGGTTAAACCATTTCTGATTCAAGACAGACTCTTCTGCCATACGGCTAGGCTTATTTCACTGAAGAAGGGGATAAATAAATAAATAAATACACACCACCTTCTGCTTTTCTTTGTTGTTTAGAACAGCTGGAATGCATCTTCCTTTCCACCCGAACACTGACCACTGCTCAACTGGGTGAAGGAGGGGCTTCCTTCCTAGTCTAGGCAGCACATGGGCTGCATTAGTCAGGTCAGGATTGAAGCAGTGGGAACTGGTCTGGAGCCTGGGTCTGTGAGTCCTGACCTGGTACTTAGGACCTTGGGGCTGGCCTGAAGGTTTGTTCCACAAGGGTCGGACTGGCACTGAGTGGGCCTTGAACATGAACCTATAGGAACAATCCGCGGTCTCTGGTATACAGAGGTCAGTCAACCTAGAACCTTAGTTCCCCAGGGTCAGCCTGAAGTCTGGATCCCCAAGGGCCAGCCTGGAGCCAAGTCTGTGGGGGTTACCTAAAGACTAAATCTATGGGTACTGACACGGGCTAACATACAAGATCTATGAGGGTGGCCTGAAGCTTGGGGCTGCAGAGGTCAGTGCAAGGAGAATCTGTGATGCTTGGTCAGTGGAGCTAGTGCAATAGTGGGTAAGCAAGAGCAACTCTGGGTGCTCGATCTACTGCAACATGGAGCTACAGAAGCTCGTCTTACTATTGAGTCTCTGGATGCTGATCTGGTGCCCGGGCCTCTGAGTACAAGCACTTTAGGTTCATAGGTGCCAACCTGGTACTAGTTAAGTCTGAAGATGGAATTCCAGAGACTGGCCTGGTGTCACAATGGTCCTGGAAAGACCATGCATCGTTGTCCAACTGAAGCCTGGGACCATGGGTGCTGGCATGGCCCAGTTTGCTATGAGCATTTTGAATACTGCAATGAATACACTAAAGAATCTAATGAGAATTGTAGATAACATACAAGATCAGATAGTTAATTTAAGCAGGAAAATAGACACTTTAAGAAAGAATCCAATAGATGTATAATTCAAATCTCAGAAGTGAAAGATAGAAAGAGAAATACAAAAGAAATATCTGAAGAAATAATGACCAAATTATCTAGAGTAATAACAGACACGAAACCACAGATGTTAGAAGCTTGGAGAACACCAAGGAGGATGATACACACATGTGTGCACATGCACACATATAGTCTTAGCTCTTTTCTCTTTGCTATCACAAAATTCTTGAGACTGTATAATTTATAAATAATAGAAACTTATATGTCTCATAATTCTAGAGAAGTCCAAGAACATGGAACCAGCATCTGGTGAATTTCTTGCTACATCACAGTATGGCAGAGGATATCACATGCAAGAGTGCTAGTTGGTCTCCCTCTTTTATTAAAGACACTAATACTCTCCCAAGGGCCCCTCCCTCATGACTCCATCTAAATTTAATTATACCTCAAAGGTCCACCTCCAAATACCATTAATGTGAATTTGGGGACTAAGTTTCCAACACATGAATTTTTGAGGAATACATTCAAACAATAGTGCACATCTGTAGTGTACATAGACACATACAATGATTAAACTTCTGAAACCCAATGTCAGAGAGAGAATATTGAAGCATCCAGAAAAAATGAATATCATTTGCTGAGAAATTTTCTGAGAAGGAAGTGGACTTTTAATGAGTAATAATAAAAGCCATGAAACAATAGAGTAACATCTTTAAAGTCATGCAAAAAAAGAAAACAAAAGTGAAAACTAACAACCCAGAATTCTATGTACAGCAAAATTTTGTAAAGGATAAGTAAATAAAAGCCTTCTCAGACCAACAACAACAAAAAAAATGTCTTACCAGCAGACCTACTCAATTAAATAAAAAAAAAAATCTCAGTGCACTAGAGTTGTAGCTCAGTGGTAGTGTTTATCTTAGTACACACAAGGCGCTGAGTTCAGTTCCCACTTCTGCCAAAACACAAAATAAAACAAAAACAAAGTCAAAGGAAGTTTTTCGTGCACAAAAAAATATAATAGCAGGCTCAATTTTGGTCTGCACAAAAATTCAAGTATCTAGAAATGGAATAACAATAAAAGAAAGCAAAATCAGTTCCAATTCTTTTCTTATTTTTAATTGTTCTCAAAGATAGCTAACTCTAGAAAACAACATAAGCAGCATTGTATTCTGTGTTTATGATACATGTAAAGTGAAAGCTAAGAAAAGATAGCATGAAAGATGTGTCACCCAAAATGTAATATTGAGCCCTATCATTAATGTCATATTCTGAGATGGGGGTTTTAGGTGCTGATTAGATCAGGAGGGTTGTAGTCGGGTGTGGTGGCTCACAGCGGTAATCCTGGCATTCTGGGAGGCCGAGAGAAACTCAGATCTAGGCTGGGCAACTTATATCCTAAATCAAAAAATCTGTAAGGGTTGGGGATGTAACTCAGTAGGAAGGCTCTGCACCCCCACCCCCCCAAGGCTCCCAGTAGCTCCACAAAAGCAGCCACAACAACCAGAGGTCATGAGGGAGCTGGCTCCTTCCCTTCTGCCCTTTTTGCCCTCTGCCTTCTGTCAGGTTGAGATGCACCAGTTGTGGCATCATCTCAGACAGAGATTCGGTCTTCATCAGACACCAAACCTGCCAGATGATTGATCTTTGACTTCTCAGGTTTCAGAACTACAAGAAAAAACTTTGATTTTTTTATAAACTGCCCATTTTGTGGTATTCTGCTTTAGCAGTTTAAATGTACTAAGAAAAGATGGATGGAACAATTAAGAATTTATTGCCACTGGGTACTTACACAACATGTGAAGCAATATAATATTTGAAAGCAGATTCAGATTAAAGATGTATATTTATGGGGCTGGAGATTTAGCTCAGGGGCATAAATGCCCACCTTGCAACTGTGTGGTCGTGAGTTCGATCCCCGGTAACGATAAAAAGACAAAAAAAAAAATGTATATTTATTTTAGAAAAACACTAGAAAATACTTTTTAAAAGAATTAATACTTCATAAGAGATAAAAAAAAAAGAATTTTAAAAAATGCTCAACCGGGTCTGGGGATAGCTCCGCGGCATAAGCGCCTGCCTTCAAGCAGGCAGTCATGAGTTCGATCCCTGGTACGGATAAAAACAAAAAAGACAAAAAAAAAAAAAAAAAAAAAAAATGCTCAACTAACATAAGAAAAGATAGTAAAAGAGAACAACAAAAGACAGATGGAACAAGTAAACTCATCTATATTATAAAGATAATTTGGTTAAAAATAAAGAGAAAAAAAATACTGAGCAAAACTAATTAAATGAAAGCTGAAGTAGCTATGTTAATGTCAATAGTATACTTCAAAACAAGCAATATTGGGGCTGGAGATTTAGCTCAGCGGCATAAGCACCTGCCTTGCAAGCGTGGTCGTGAGTTCGATCCCCAGTACCGATTTAAAAAAAAAAACAAGCAATATTATTGGCGATAAAGAGAGATAATACAATAGAGGATTTATTTCTCCAAAAAAATGTAACTAATTAAACTGTGAATACCTCTAACAACAGAGCTGCCATAGAGTAAAGAGGTGGAAATGAAAAGAAGAATAGGGCTGGAGTCTTTAATATTTTTTAAAATAATTGATAAGAAGTAGAAAGCTAATTATTATGGTTACAGAAGCCCAGAACAACACTATCAAAAACTAAATAAATTGAAGTATACAGAATATTCCACCCAACAAGAGAAAAATATACTTTTTTCTGGCATACATGGAACATTCATCAAAATATACCACATTCTGAGTTATTAAACAAACTTCAAAGAATAAAAATCATACAAAGTGTGTTCTTTGACCATAGTGGAAATAAACTACTAATCAATAAAAGAAAGACATTTGGAAAAATCCTCAAATAATTGGAAATTAAACAGCACTTTCTAATAATCCATGACCCAAAGAGGAAGTCCCAATAGAAGATTAAAAACATCTTTGACTGCAATAAAGTAAGAATGCAACATATCAAAATTTGTGCAGTGTAAAGTTAGGGTTTGAAATTTAGGCATCGAATGCTTATTTTAGAGCAGAAAAAATTCTCAAATTGATAATGGGAGCTT